TACATACATATGTGAAGTTGCCTTTGCAATAGGTCTGTGTCTGTTGGACGTGAAATATCTCGTCCATATAGGGCTCCGGGAGGTGATCGTTGACGAGTATCATCACCGCCAATATGGCGAACCCGAAAGCCGTCCCAATCAGTATCACTATCTTATTGAACATCACGTCGGCGGATGTCTTACCGCCGATGAAGCCATTCTGTCTCTCAACAAACGTTTGTGCCATCGGTTGAGAGTTGTGTCACAACAAGAAGATCACAATTCAATTAAACGATTGCATTGTGTTTACAGATAATATCGACACTAAAAATAGGCAACACTTTTGTGTATATCATATGTTAATTGTGTTGTATTTTCGCATATGATTTGCAATACTCTGATCGCAATCAATGTGTGATTAGTTTTTGCTATAATTTGTTTGAAATGTTTTAGCGTTATGTAAGAGTTGTCACTAAAAGCACATACAGTGTTACGAAACTGTCACTTCACTCAATACAGTACAACACACAGTATATCCACGTGTAATGATTTACCAGTGGTTGGACACGCCTTCACCCACTCCTATATACCCTCCCATTCCCACAGCTATAGTGATATAGCCCTCTGTTTTTTACCCCCCGTTTTCGACAAACAGTTTAAAACTTTTAATTATAGTTAATAATTATGTGATTTAATTACAATTTTTATTAATCATATGGTATTTCAAGTGGTTATGAATTATTCATGTGTTTTTTGCACTTATATTTTGTGATTTTTATAAATGTTACATATTTTTTCGTATTCATTACTTTGATTACAATTAGTTATATTAGGATTACATTCAATTATTATAATTACATAAAAAACACAAAATATTTTAATTGAGATCAGAATATATTTATATAAATCATTACAAATGCATTGGCAGTACAATTAAGTATTCAATTGAGTGATAAAATAAATCATTTTATAAGAATTTTACTTTAAAAATCTTAAATTCTTAAGAAATTCTCTAAAAAATCAATAAAAAAAAGTGAACGAAAAGTAAGAAAAAGCAGTAAAAATGTATGAAAAAGTGGATGAAAAGTGAATTATAAACAATATAATTGATTACGAGATTCATTGATATAAAATTATGAATTATTTGTATTCTCTGTCCAACACTTCTAGCATAGAATCGGTGAAAGAGAAGCCATCGTTCTCTTTATCACAAATATCTTGAATCTCGCGATAGTCGGCGTCCAACACGTCGGTCAGGACAGCCCCGTTGTCGGGCTCGTTGTTATCGGTTGTCCCGGAAGAGTCTGAATTGTCGTCATACTTAACAAAAGTCTCTTCGGGAGCCGACGGTTCCAGCGGTTCCACGTTTATCACATCATCAATCCGTTGTGTCTGGTAATAGGCGTCCGCCAATTGGTTCTCATTTACATCATAGCTGCTGTGGAACAGCTGTTGCATCATTTGCACCGGTAGTCCGCAATTGTTTGGCAACTTTAGTGAGCACTTTGCGTGAGTGGTTGCCCCGCATTCACTACATTTGACGGCTTTGCGACCGAAGTGTATGGTCTCCGCACAGGAAACACACTTATTGTTTGGCAACTTATTGGTCGTCTCGACAAAGCGGTGCGGAATGTTGTGATGCATTCGTTGTGAGCCGAGTGACCAGTTGTCGGGCGGAGGGGCGGCCGTCGCCGGAGTGCTGTGCAGCCGATTTTCCACTCTTTGGTTGACGTGTTTCTTGTTTTCGGCACAGAATAATGGCTTTCGAAACACATGTTCGTTGGACTCAACACTCAAATCATCGCATTTTAATGAATTCTTTAATTGAAACACTGGTAGAGGAATGGCAGAGAATATGCTTTATTTTCGTAATTAATATATAAATGTTTATAAACTTTGAAATCAATAATAACTGTTATAAATAAATGTGTAATTAAATGAGAGTACAAACAGACCTTCATTTTTAAAATAGTTTGCGTCGCCTTTCAGTCTCTGTATCTCATCGACAAGTCTTCTGTTATTAGACTTCTCTTCGGCTAACGATTTGTATAAATCATTCATTTCGAGCGGACAGTTAGGCTGACGCGGACTATTCGGTACAAACTTTTTGGTTGGGGTTATACTAAACAATGGCTTCACAAATGATAGCAATAAAAAAATATAGAAAAAAGCGTTTTATAAGCAAATAATGACAATTAAAATAATAGTAAATCTTTAGATTAGAAACAGAGTTAATGTGTGTTTTGGTCGTCCCATTCAATGCTTGCAATCATTCACTTCTTTACCTTCTTTTGCTTAATGAGTGAGTCGTTGGTGTCCTGGAGGTGATCGATGGCCTTCTTCTGCTGCGCCAACTGTTGAATATACGCTCCCTTTTCGCGGTTAATCTCATCCTCTCTTACATCCAACTGAGTGTGCAATGACTCGATTCGTTCCTCCAATTCGTCCACCTTTTCGACCGATTGCTGGAAACCGTGCGTCAGTTTCGAGTTCTGATCCTTTAGATTACCGATTGTTGTGATATGTTTGGCCGCTTCCTCTTTGATCGCTATCAGCTGTTCCTCCAAATGACTAATCTTCGAGTCCAGAGCGACAATCACCTCATCGTTAGAGTATAGGCTCTGTTCCTGATTGGAGATCTTGTCCTCTAATTCGCGATACATTTTGCGATCGTTTGCCAGTTGTGTCTCAGCGGCGGTCAATTTCTTGCGCTCGCTGTCCAGAATCTCTTCGTATTCTTCGCGCTGGGAATCAATCTCCACTTTGAGTGCATCCCTTTCGCGTAGAACTGAATCCAAGTGCGAGCGAACGGTCAGCAACTCTTTGCTCAACTTCTGGACTTCGGTTAGTGTCGAGTCCTTGTCGGCGATCAGCTTCTCCTTCACGACTCCGAGACCAACGTATTTGTTCTTAAACTGTTCCGTCTGTTTGTCCATCTGTTGGCATTGTTCCCGAAGTATCTTATAATTGCTGTTAATCTTTCGCAGCTCTTTGTCTTTCGTATCGATGACAGTGTTCTTCGCCTTCAACTCATTCTCCAGCGATTGGATCCGATACTGGGTTTCCATCAATTGATTGGTATTTAGTTCACCCTTTTTGACCGAATCGTCGTATTTTCGTTTCCAAACAATCTCTTTGTTCAGCTGATCCCTCAATGACTACCGAATACATGGAAATAATAAAACAAAACATTCAATTAATACATAAAAAGGCACTTTTATTGTCACATAATTTAAAAAACCAATTAAAACGAGAAAAATACACAAAATTTCAATGAAATGATTGACTAAATAAGACAATTGAAAGAAAGGAGTGATAAATAATGTGTTATAAATATTTCAAAACTTAAACATTCATTGATTTTAAGGCTAAATAGTTATCGCATTTGAATTTATAATAAACTGATTAAATGTATTCGCAATTAAGAAAACTATTGACTGTTTTGAGCGACACTTATCTCAACAGCAAATGTTAGGTTTGGGAATGAATTCATGCCAACCTTAGACTCGTCCTGAAGATCGCGGACTCGTTGCTCGTAATCGTCTTTAGACTCCTATAAACACATCAAAAACCAATTAATCAAATAATAACACGTTTTGGAGTCACTCGTGAGGACAATGGCAACGATAATCACCTGATATCTCAATTGCTTGGCGTCGGAGTTCTCGTGAAGAGCGCGCAACTCGTCGGACAACTGGCGGATGGACTTATCATTAGTGCGGAGCAGATCCTTGATCTGCGAGTCCTTCTCGTCGAGCGACCGCTTCAGCTCTTCGAGCGTGGCGTTCATTGTCGTCATCTGATCCTTGAGTTCGCGCTTCTCTTCGCGCAACCATTTGGTGGTCTCTTTGTATTTGTCGACATCGCGTTTGGCGAGCCGTAGATCCACTTTCAGTTCCTTCACCTCGAGTTCGTGGCGCGAAGACATCTCGTCGTTGATTGTCTTCAGTGAGTGGAACTCCGATTTGATGCGTTCGTGTCTGTCCTCGAACTGATCCAGTCGTGCGCGCAGTTGTGTCACCTCATCGGTGGGCCCGTCGTTGACGGTGTCGTCGCCGCCGATCGCCACAGACTTCTTCGTGTTGTCGACCCGTTTCGGTGGCATCGCTTGTGTCCAGTGATTGATATCGCAATGCAAGTGATGGACGGATCGATGGATTAGCTCTTCAGTGATGTCTTTGAGAAGTGGTTTACAAACGCAATGAAAGTGTGTTTTCAAACGCCTCTCAACTCTGACTCAATGTTCAGTATTTGAGACGAGATTTTTCAAAACACAGTCGTCTCGAGCGCTGATTGGCTGTTGAGTCGCGCACTCATTGGTTGAAAGCATTGTTAGCCTTTTGGCGCACATTATAATAATGAGTGTTTTAAATGTGTTATCAATTGCTATGCAATGAATGGACTTATCATTGGATTTGACTGTTATTTGATTCAAATGTTAAACTCTTATCAATTGTCTGGCATTGGTTTGGGTTTTTTAAGCATTGCTAATAAAATTGTTATTTTCTAACAACCATGATCATATTTGCATAATTATTATTGTAGCATAATATTTTAATATCTAATGGTTTAATGAATTAATTAGTTTAATTATATTTAAAATTATATACATTTGTATTTATTTTATCTATTTTTGTATTTAATTTTTATTTAGTTTTCAAAAACTTTATTAATTTTTACATAAAATCTCTTATTTCTTATTAAAAGAGTTGTATTTTTTGAATATTATATTTTTAAATTGAATTTAAACTGAAATTAATTAATAGATTGATAGCTATTTCACATTTAACTACATTTTAATGAATAACAATTATGGGATAGTATATCATTAAAATGCCCAGGGTGGTTTTGGGTTATCCTATGTTTGCATTGCCACTAGCATTCAAACACACTATTTATACCCCGGGCTATAATTTAGTTGTCTATAATTATAAAATTTTCATTTTTATATTAAAATTTACAATTAATTTTTTTAATAAAATTTAAAAATCTATAAATTAAACTAAAATTTCGCTTCAAAACACATCAAACATATAAATTATAAGTTATTTTTAAATTAAGATTTTTTTTATAATATATTAATTATGGAGGAATTGACACAATTGTGAAATTTATTAAATTGTTTAATATTTAATTGTGTTATGTTTTGAAGCGATTGATGTACTATTTAACACTGATTTATTAATTTACACATGTTCACTTTTGTGAGACTTTGTATATTGTAATCGTGTTTAATGTTTTAAATGCCTTATAATTGATATGAAATAGCATTTTATATGATTTAAGATAGCTTTGGAAACAATATGTTATTATTTTGGCATTTATTTCGCTAATCAAGACATGAAATAATACAAGGAATCGATCGTTAGTTTGAGATATCATTATATATTTTGCTTCAAATCAAGAGTTATAGAAGTTTTCTTTATTAATGTTTGAATATTATAAATACATTTGTATTTTTGCTTTAAACTTATTTATTATGCGTTAATTCAAACTCTCTTTAGTTTATGTAATTTATAATAAAAGATCAGA